GTCAGATAAATCTGTCAATAGGTGAGTATGTCACGCACAGCATCCAATCGGGTCCAAGTAGTCATCAATTTTTTGGTAGATGATTTCAAAGTGCAAAGAAAAAAAAATGCTGACTGGTTAACATGGACACGCTAATATTTATCAATTTCTTTCATCTTTTTAAATTAGCCCAACGATTCTTTTCAGATTCAAATATATTGAAATGGTTAAATCTACATAGCTTATTTACTTTACATTTTTCAAACATACTAGTGTTTTTCTTGAAATGATGACAGGTCACCTTTAAACAAATACGTGCGCTGGATACTGATGACAGACAGACAGACAGACAATCTTTGCATGTAAAAAGAGAAGTCTTTTTTTTTTTCTTCAACCACATAGCCAGCGACTCTAGTTCTACGTAATCTCGTGAAAAGTTAAAGGATTAGTATTACAGTCTGGAAACATTACAGGTTGTGTTGATTCTTTGCTCCTCTTTGCCTCAGGTGTACAGAGTAATCCCAGAACTAGAATGTGCTCATTTTAGGCCACACCAGGATTTCATTACTGAAAACAGATCACAAACTAATACTTATCAACACTTAACTACCATGTTTAACGGTAATATTAAGGCAATGTTAATTGATGCCAATAGCTAATAGCTGCTTATTATCTTAATATGTGGCCTGTGTGTTCTGTACACATATAACCCCACCCTTTAACATGCAACATATCTAAGTGCTGGTATATTAGTGCTAATTGAGGAAGCACATCCAACGCCTATGTCACTTCTGACTTCATTCCATTAAGGCAGGGGTCCCCAAACTTTCTAAACAAAGTGCCAGTTCACACTCCTTCAAATCTTTAGGGGAGCCAGACTGTGGCGAGTGGAAGTAAACAATGCCCCAGGTTTGGTGAGCAGGGGGGAGTAAAAAAAAAAAAAATGGCCTAGTTGTGTGGCTAATGATGAATAGTGCCCCATTGCTGGTATCAATAGAAAGACTAGTACCCCTTTGTTTTTGTCAGTATAAGGTCTGGTGCCCCGCCGTTGGGGGCAGTAAAAGGCAAAGTGCCCTAGCATTGGGGGGCAGTAGAAGGCATAGTGCCCTAGCATTGGGGGGCAGTAGAAGGCATAGCGCCCTAGCATTGGGGGGCAGTAGAAGGCATAGCGCCCCAGCGTTGGGGGAGCAGTAGAAGGCAAAGTGCCCCAGCATTGGGGTAGAAGCAAAGTGCCCCAGTAGTAGAAGGCAAAGTGCCCCAGTGTTGGGAGCCCCCCCAGCATTGGGGGGGGCAGTAGAAGGCAAAGTGCCCAAGCATTGGGGGGCAGTAGAAGGTAAAGTGCCTCATCAGTTAGTCCTCATCAGTGTAGTAGAGATAAAGTGCCCCTTCTTTGTCAGTAGAATATAAAGTGCCCCATCGGTGGTGTCAGCAGAAGGAAAAATGCCCTATTTTTGGTGTAAGTGGGAGGACTGGTGCCCCATGTTTGGTGTCAATGCAAGAAATAGCCCCCCATTGTTGGATGTCAATAGGAGAAATAGTGCCCCATCGTTGGGTGGCAATAGGAGAAATATTGTGCCATTGTTGGTGTCAGTCGAAAGAACAGTGCCCCATCACTGGTGTCAGTAGATAGTATAGTGGCCCATGGTTGGTGTCAGTAGAAAGTATAGTATTCCATCATTGGTGTCAGTAGGGAAATAATTGTCCATTGGTGATGTAATTGACAGGGTTCCAAAGGCTGGTTAAAGGCAAGCAAAGGGCCACATCCTGCCTGTAAGGTAAAGTTGGGGACAGCTGTACTAAGGCCGGTAACATTATTATAGTGAGGAAGAGCAAAGAAAGTGAATGGGACTTCAACATCCAGGACAGTCCATGCTTGCAGGTAAGATTGCAGAAATCAATTTCTTTTGGTTTCATCACTCTTGGGTTCCTAGTATGCACAGTATCTTTTTGTCATTGAGGTCGCTAGCCTTAAAGTATAACTAATGGCAAAATATATTTTTTACATTTGGATAGAGTAGTGAGATATTAGAACCACTGTCAGGTTTTTTATTGCTGTGTCACAGTTAGGAAGATTCACTCTCTAACTGTCCCGATAACCAATGTCACAGAAATGAAAGTGAGGGCAAATTTAAATTTTTAAATTGTCATCAGAACAGGAATAATCTCCCAAAGGGGAGAGGTGTTCTCGTGACAACTGTTAAAGATGGGATTTCCTTCACGTTGCAAAGATATCCTGTAACCTCCTTTAGAGTTGAGAGGACAGGAAGTAGAGGGAAATCTCCCTAATGAGACACTTATGACAAAACAAGTGGACAGGAGCTTTAACCCTCCCTAAGGCTAGGTTCACATCTGTGCAGGTGGTGCCGCTGCGGATCCGCACAAAAATCATGCATCCGCACCACCCGCACAGAGAAATGCGGACCCGCGGGCGGGTGCCATTAGTTCTAATGGCACGCCACCTGCACTGGAAAACGCAACCGTACTGGGAACTGAGGTTCCCGTGCAGGCTGTGTCTTCGGAAGAAGTGCAGGGACTTCTTCCCTGCGTGTTACGGGCACGGGAGTCCATTCAAATGAATGGGCTCTCGTGCCCGTGCAAAACACGGCCCGCGCGGCCGCATATATGTGAACCGGGGCTTAAGTGTGACCAAAACGAAAAAAAGTTTTGCTTTTCGATATACAGTACTTTAAAGGATAATGTGTACAAATAAAACGTCAGTGCAACAAATAACTCCTTAAATTCCTGTGTATACTAGTGTTTCTGACACTTTATACTTGTGTTGCTGACACTTACATGCGTTTCCACACACAAAAGATGTCATAAAATAGTGCCCTGCATATATCTCTATAACCTCATATATGAATTAAAGCATCCAAACCATGTAATTATGCAACAACAATGAATACAACTTAAAAGTCCATAACGTGTGTTTGATCAAGCATGGTTTGGATGCTTTAATTCATATATGAGGTTATAGAGATATATGCGCAGCACTTTTATATGACATAACTTTAAAAGATAAGTTAACCTTTAAGGAAAAAAAACAAATGAACATATTTTTGCAGTTAGAGGAAGAGTGAATGGACTACGAGCGAGTTGATCAGCGCACTCATAGTCCATTGAGAATTACAAGCTGCCTGCTGCTGTGGCAGACAGGACTTGTAGTTCATTCACAGATCTCTCTGTGCAGGTGGAACTCCACACAATCACGGCATGGGACAGCAGCTTCAGGGGGAAAGGAGGCACTGGGGGTAATGCAGTGCACTACAACACACTTGTATGACATGAGCAGGGCACATAGAAAACAACTGTTTTCTATGTACCTTTGAGATGATCTATGCAGATCAACGCAGCTCGATTGACATGGTGTAAATGAGCCCTTATACAAATTTAATAGAGATGCTACCTGTCCATCATTCTAGATCACAGAGGAATGAAATTATTGTACAAAGGCAGCTTACCTTATAAGACACAGACAAGTAACAATGAGTCCACCAAACATGCCATCGTACATGTCATAGTAACCATATGGACACCTTTAAAAAAAAATGTTTGTATTTGCCTAAAATTCTCCTATAGTCCTGTACACATCACAAAGAGCTGCATTACAATTTTGTAACACCCATCTACAATATTCTAAAAAGTGAGTTGACAATGGATGTCTGCTGGTTTATTTTTTTTTTTAAACGTTACTGGCAGATAGATGAACCCTTACCCAGAAGTTAGTTTCACCTTTAAGCAGCTTTATAGAGTTTCTAAAGCCAGTGTTTATATTTTTTTTGTTTTTTTTGGATAAAGCAAGGCTTGTTTACACTTATGTTTTCATGCGTCATGGCATGCTGCGTTAAGGCACCCAGTCATTTTGAGTGGGCTGGTATTTTCGTACAGAAAGAAACCACACAGTATATTGGCAATGCAGTACACCACAAGCCTGCAGGTGCATTGCCAGATCCTACACATGTGCATTGAGGATACATGCGTCAATAGGGCAACACATTGGTGTGCTAAGGCTCTCAGTGAGAATTAGAACCCCTGTCTCCACCGGAGAGATTCACCTCTCTATTTGTCTCGGTGACCATAGTTCCCTGAACAGTAGGTAGGAAGTAAGGAACACTCCCCTTCCTACACCATGCATTCACTGATGTATGTGGTGTAGAGGCAGTGAGATGCGTTGTTACAACACCTCGCACTGTTTATTTTTCCTATTTTCCCTTTTAATTTTAACTTTATTAAAGTATCACAAAATGACACTTCATTAAAGTCTATGCTCTGCAGCATGCCACAACATGCAGTACTGTGAATTGCAAATTGCGTTGCTTAAAAATGCATAAATGTAGCATTTTTATGGTGCACACACCGCTGCACATGTATGGTATGAATATTGCACATAGGAAACAGGTTTTGTTTTCCTTTTATTGTGCCCTTGTATTGGGCCTGTGTTTTTCTATGTAGATCAATGCAGCTCAATGGACAACTGCTTATGTTGGAGAGATCTCCTCTCACTTTCTGTTGTGACTTGAGCCAGGAAGTGAAGAAAATCTCACCAATGGGACCCAAAAAAACCCCACAAAAAGAAGGATGAGTTTTAACCATTTTCTACCCTATTCAAAAATAAAATGTTGGCTTTAAGGCTCCTTCAGTACTGATTCACACAGGCACAGAGGTCCATGCACCATCATAAAGAACATATTTTCACGTTGGGTAGTCGCAGGTGTTTGCATACAGCAGCCCGTACAAATCATTGATAGATGCCATGGTGGCATGGATTTCACCGCACATGTGTACAGGGACAGATGAGCATCTGGAGCCGCTCCTCTATCCCTGTATGCATATTATTTGGATGAATGGTTACATCAATGGAGTTGCAGCTTCGTTCAGCCTATTGCTGATTCACATGGGTTGTTGGCCATGACTATACACAAACACCTGTGACTCCCAGATGCAAAAATATACACTTTTTTAATGGTGTACACCCCTCTGCACAAATTCTTAAGCATTTCATGCAAACTAAGCTCTCCTACCTTGCTGGTATTCCTAGTGATCTTGCCAAAGGAGTTTGGGATGACGAGAAGAATAGGCACTGTTGAGTTGCTAGACGTTCTCCTCCTCCTCTGATGGTGTCCAGGTTTTACAGCCCAATCTAGGGCAACCAAGCCATCATCTGTCAGCTGCAGGTACTCCCTGACAAAGTGCACCCCTTTATCCACAGGTCCCAGCACAGCCACCACAGTCTGCAGACTGGGGAAAGTTCTCCACACCCAGGTGACATTGGAAAAGGTGCAAAAAGTTCTACACTGTCTCAGCAAGTAGCTGGCCAGCGCAGAAGGTTTGCAGATCAGTTTGTAGTCCTCTTTCGGCTCCTCCACTGTCTTTGCTGGGAAATAAAGATAGAAGTGCTTCTTATAGGACCAAAACACTATGAGAAAGAGAGTGCCTAGAGAGGCAGCCCATTCTAGCATTGCAGTAGGAATCAGAGGTCAGCTGGGACAGTGATAAGGACTTGGCCAGGAGGTGCCAGGACAGGTGCTGCTGTAGTCCTGAGAAATGCTCTCACATCTCAGAGAAGCTCAGGCAATGCATGGCTCTGTGTACGCTGAGCAGTGGGCGGAGGAGCTGTCTCTTCACAGCCTATTATTGTGGTCACTCCCCAGTGCTGGAGAGGAAGATAGATACAAACACAGCAGAGTGCAAACATGCAGCCTGAGCGAGGTTAGAAATGGCATCGCAGAAAGAAAAGTGTATGTCAAGGCGATATATAAAAAAATAAATAAACATATTGAGTACATCTCCGCAATACGCGCACAGTTCTCCGTGTTTTTTTACTTTAAGGACCCTTCAAATACAGAAAAATAACAATACGGATATCTGCCGGAAATCCACTCAGCTACTAAGCCCTGTTCACATTAGCGAGCGTTTCCACTTTGCAATTTTGACAGTGCTGTTTTCACACAATTCTATGTGTCGCATAGGGCAACCTATAGCTGCCCTATGCATGTTTGCTGCCCAAAAAGAAGCTCCTGCTCCCTTTCTGGCTACATGCTTCATGAGATTATTAAAGGTGCAGTTTGCCGCTCCATCCTGTCGCACAACAATTACGGCAGAATCACATCACATTTGGTGTGCCTTTGAAGAATAATGGCACTCAAATGTGCTCCACATGTGCTACAGGTGATTAGACATTGCAGGCAGAATCGAGCCCTAAGGTGATATTAACCACTTGCCCTCCAGAGGATTTACCCCCCTTCCTGACCAGGACATTTTTTGCGTTGCGGTGCTGCGCTATTTCAACTGGTAATTGCGCGGTCATGCAATGCTGTACCCAACCAAAGTTTATGTCCTTGTTTTCCACAAATAGAGCTTTCTTTTGGTATTATTTGATCGTCTGTGCGTTTTTTATTTTTTGCGCTATAAGCAAAAAAAGGCCGACAATTTTGAAAAAAAAAAAAACAATATTTTTGACTTTTTACTATAAATCATATCCAATAAAAAAATTGAAAAATCTAATTTAATCAAAAATTTAAGCCAAAATGTATTCTTCTACATGTCTTTGCTAAAAAGAAATCCCAATACATGTAAATTAATTGGTTTACGTGAAAGTTATAGTGTCTACAAATGGCAGTATAGATACTGGATTTTTTATTTATTTATTTATTTATTTATTACTAGTAATGGCGGTGATCAGAAGTTATAGAGGGACTGCGGCAGCATTCTGACACTGGGGGGGAACTGACTAACTGCCACTGACATCCCAATGACACCAATACATTGATCAGTGCTAATAAAAAGCACTGACACTGCACTAATGACACTGGGCAGGAAGGTTGTTAACATCTGGGGCGATCAAAGGGTTAACTGTGTGCTGTTTTACTATGTGTGCTGTGTATGTTTTACTAGGGAAACAAGCTGCTTTGTATTGCTCTGCAAAGCAGCCCGTTTGTGCTGATGGGAGAGATCTGTATTGTTTACATACGTACCTCTCCCCTGTCAGCTCCACCAATGATCACCGAGTCCTGGAGGGGGGGGGGGGGTGGTGTTGCTGCACACAGAAGGTTTTTTAACTTCATGCAAAGGATGCATGAAGGTAAAAAAAAAAACCTTGAGCCTTTACAACCACCTTAAAGTTGAACTTCATGCAGAAATGTCATTCAAGTATATTCTGCAAAGGAAAGCAGTGATTAAAGTGGTTGTAAAGGTAAAATATTTTTTTTCCTTAATGTATTCTCTGCACTAAGCTAAAAAAACCTTTTACATGCAGTTCCCCCTAAATACTCACCTGGGCCTGATCTCAGTCCAGCACTATGCACGTCTGCAGCAGCTCTACTCCCCTCTTCCAGGCTCTCACAGGCTTGGCTGAGAGCAACGGGAGCTATTGGCTCCTGCTGCTGTCAGTCAAAACCTGTGAGCAAAGATCAGGTGTGGGGCTGAACTGGGCTGTGTGTCTGAATACATGCAAACAGCGTGGCTTGGGAGCGAGCCAACATCAGTGCCCACTCTATTAAGCGATAGTGGGCACTGCAGAGGGGATGACCCCAAAAGAGGAGAATCAGGGTTACTCTGTGCAAAACCATTACACAGAGCAGGTAAGTATAACATGTTTGTTATTTTAATACAAAAAAAAGAGAAGGTTTACAATTGCTTTAATAAAACACTCCTGTCTAAGAAACTGATATATGATCACAGAGGTTGCCTAAAAAAAAATTCAGAAAATGTGGGGTATGTGGCAGGCAGAATCTTCTGCTGGTCATTACACAAAGCTCTTACTTCATTCTGAACAGTGGCTCTTATGTGTTTAGACCTGATGTACTCAGAATGCAGTGCTGTATACTCATTTGTGATCTGTTATGTTTAAGGGGGAACTCTTAGATTGTAAGCTCCAAGGATCAGAGCCCTCCTATCCCTCTTGTATTGAACTGTATTTTTGCTGTATTGTCTCCTGTTATATTGTAAAGTGCTGAGCAAACTGTTGGCGTGATATAAATCCTGTATAATAATAATATTAAAGCCATATTAAACCCAAAAGCAAACATATATTATATTGCAGCTTACCAATTCTTTGTTGTGGTGCTGCATTCTTTTTCTTTTTTAGGCTTTCCTATTTTATTTTCACCTGGTGACCCAGCCAGTAAGTCTGTTTTTCTACAGAAAAAGCTGTCCTGCAGATGTAGCAGTTAGAGGGTTGAAACAAACCATTTAACCCTGACCGGGATGCTTACAATGATCAACTCTAATTTATTTATGTAAACCCTTTATCCCAAAAGAAACAAAACTTTTGCTGTAAGGCCCCTTTCACATGGGTAGTTGAGACCACAACCTGTCTGTTTTTCAGATGGGTCCGACCGGACCATCCATTCTCCTCTATAGGTAGCTGGATGTAAATGGACCTGTGTTTGTTTCCACCCAGCTACCTCTGTCTTGATCCGGCAAAAACAAATAGAAGGGGGATTCATTCCCCTCTACTGCCTATAGAGGAGAACGGACTATGTCCGTGCCAACTCTGCATAAGTGGAGCGGACATGGACACAGACCTGTCATCCAGGAGCTGTCAGCTGAGCAAAACTGGATCTAGATCCTGTGAAAGGGGCCTAACAGCTTATAAAGTGTTTGCTGGGGTTTGGCTTTAATTTGTTTAGTGTGTCTAAATCTGCTAGTACATCTAACACTCCTATCCCCCAGATTAACAATACTGCTTTCCAACGGTATCTTTGTTTTTCCTTCATTCAGAGTGGGGGCACCCTAATACAGGGAGTGTGTTACTGGCTAGATCGCCATGTGAAAACAGAATTAAAAGAAAAAGCCCAAAAAAGAAAACTAATGCAGCCACCACGTCTAATGATTGGTAAGTTGCAATATAATACATTTTTAGATTTGGATACATTTTGAAATTTAATACCACTTTAAGTTCCAATATTCCTATTTTTGAGACAGCACATGGCACTTTTGGTTTAGGTTTTCATAGTTTCTCAACTGATTATACTCTAATTATAAGGGCTTTGCTATATTATTCCTGCAAAGAGTCTGTGGTTAGGTCTCTCACTTAATTTGTCTTCAGCAATTGTATACCTTGCCAATTAGCTATGTAATACATTTTTTCTGTGTACTTTAGAGATGAGCTCAGGCATGTTTGGATCCTATTCTGAAGCCACTCGAGTAATCACTCTGGGGTGCTGTCACTGTACTGAGTCAGTCATAAGCAGCATGTATACATGCAGCTGCAGAGTTTATGATTGGTTCAGTGCTCAGGTGTGTTTGAACTAGGATCTGAACACACCTTAGGTCATCCCTAATCACTGGTGAAGCTTCAGTGGTCCCATGAGGAACCCTGCCCATGCTCCAGGGGGTCTCTGCAGCCTCCCTGTCACATCGAGTATTTTGTGGGGGGCAGTTATATGATCCAATTCCTTGAACGGCTCAGCCTGCAGCAGCTTTTCCTCCTCTCCCTCCTGCCGCTTTAAGCTGCTGCACAGAGAGCCATACAGGGGATCAGTTCCTATAATTACCCCCCCCCACTGCACTGATCACCCTTTCTGTGATTTGATTCCCCCTGCTGCCCCTTGACTTTCTCTTTTACTGCAAGGAGACAAAGTGGTGTACGCCACTGCTCTTGAGCGCAAAGCAACCCTTCCACAAGCCTGCGGCCATATTCTGAGTACCAGAGTTGCTCCAGCTAGATCCAGATGTGAGCTGACATCTGAACAACGAGAACCCTGTTGCTGTATCACTGGGACTGGTGAGAGGACTTTGCTGCCATTAACCTGTTGCCGCTAGGGACATAGGGACTGGCCAACTAACTAGCAGCATAATTTACTGCTTTCAGACTTTACTGGGACTGTACTTGTGCACACCAAAGATTGGGCCCCAACGCTAGCGAGCTGAAGAACTAGGGCTGCTCACTCAGTGGCTTCACAAGAGCTTTGCCTATGGTCCATAGTAAGAGGCACATCTTTAGGAGTCTTACATTTCATCACCATTCATATACAGTGCACTCCAAAGTGGATATAGCCTACTGTTTACAAAGGAATTATCATAGTATTGATTATCATTGCTGTTGCTGTTTTCTAATACCCTAACTTATAGTTGATTTTGTGGATTACCAGGTTTACTCTAATTTAGCTGCACAGAACTCTTTTCTATTCTGCTATAGTCTAGTAAACATATTGTCTAGTGAACTGTGATTGACCTAATCCTTTACTTTACTATTTATTTACTTACTATTTAGGCTCCATGCACATTGGGCATTTTAATAATGCTGGTAGCGTTAGCTGTGTAAAGTCATGTTAATAATGTGAATTTTATAGCGTTTTGCATTAGCGTTTTTCTGTGTTGTTGTCCAGCATTAGAGCATTGTACAGCTAAAAAGCTGCTCTAAAAACCCACTAGTTCTGGATTTTTTTGCCAACCAAAAAACACCCCTGCCACAAAACGCTGATTAAAGTCTATGTGTGCATGGACACATAGGATA